TTATTAAAGTCAGCTGTTGTCTTGCATTTTTTTGTTATTCAAAAGTAATGTGCACTTACTGTACAATATGCTTGGGTAATGAGATGGGCTTCATCTATATAAATACCATGTGATTCCCATTTACTGAGTTTTCTCTTCAAGTTAAGCAAGTTCATCTTCAGGAAAATAAAATCTCTTATTAGATTAAAGACTGAAAAGCATTCAGATCTACAGTACAGGTACAAGTATTTTCAAAATATTTAGTATGTGACTTAAAGCAGTAGTCCCCAACCCCTGGGCTGCAAACCGGTACTGGTCTGTAGATCAAATGGTACCAGGCCGCCCAAGGAACATTAAATTATTTCCATTTTATTTACTGTGGTATATTTCTCTCAGGTTTGAGCTACTTTTAATGGACATGTGGTTAACTGGGAGCTGAGAGTCATCACCTAAAACTGCACCAATACCATGCATGCACAAAATATCATGATAGCAAGGTGGTTTTAGGTGACATCTGAGGCTGAGCGGCTGCAAGTGGCAGCGGCGTTGTAGCTTTGGTGGAGAGTGTCGCGATGGAATCGTCTGGACATATGTTTCCCGTTCTTTTCATTTCAAACAAGCAACGATTGACACCGTAGAAGCACGGATCAAGAAACAACCGTTAGTTTCGAAAACAGGAGCGCTGATTGGCCAGCAAACATCATACGATCGGCGGACGTTCGATAGCGCTAGGAAACACTGATTGGTCAATTAGATTTTCTTCAAACTGTATAAAAAGATTGGGTTTAGGCAAAAAAGTTGAGTTCGCCTAAGATCTGTTAGGTTGGTCTAAGTTCGTCTGACTTCACCGATGTATGTGTATATTGTGTTTGCTCAAATTTAACCCACAAATTAGTAAAAATGAGTATGAAACAGATGTCATTAAAAAGTTTCCTTGGGAAAAAGAAATGGCCAAGTGAAGAGACAGAAGAAGAGCCTTCAACATCAAAGAAACATAAAACTTTTAACAGACAATACCATGAATCCTACTTGAAATATGGATTTATTGGGACAGGTGATTCCCACACACCAATTCCGCTCTGTATAGTTTGCAGTGACCAACTCTCTAACGAGGCAATGAAACCTTCAAAACTGCTTCGCCACTTGAATGCCATGCACCCTGGATTAAAAGACAAGCTCCTGGAGTATTTTGAAAGAAAAAAAATGGGAACACAAAGGACAGAAGAAATTTCTGAGGGTCACCACATCAATAAAGGGAATGCACTGAGAGCATCATATTTGGTGGCTAACTGTATTGCTAAGGCTTAAAAGCCATTCACTATCGGTAAAGAATTGATATTGCCCTCCACTAAAAACATTTGCCATGAACTTCTAGGAGAGGCTGCTGTGGAAAAGATAGCACATGTGCCTTTGTTGGCTAGCACTGTGACTAGGCACATTGAGGAAATAGCTGAAGACATTGAGAGACAATTGTTGGAGAGGATTAATACATCACCATGGTATGCACTCCAGGTTGACGAATCTACAGATATCGACAACAAGGCAATACTATTTGTTTATGTGTGATATCTATATCAGGAGGATGTGCATGAGGATTTGTTATATCTTTGTCAACCAACACCACAGGAGCAGAACTGTTCAAGTCACTGGATGGTTATATATCAGGACAACTAAAATGGTCCTTTTGTGTCGGCATATACACAGATGGAGCTGCTGCCATGAGCGGACGACTGTCTGGTTTAACTGCTTGGATTAAGGAGGTTGCACCTGAAAGTGAATCTACGCATTGTATCATTCACAGGAAAATGCTGGCAAGCCGAAAAATGTCACCGGAATTTAACAGTGTACTGATTGATGTTGTTAAAGTTATTAACCACATCAAAGCACACACCCTTAACTCATGCCTGTTTGAGCAGCTTTGTGAGGAGATGGACGCAGAGCACAGATGCCTTCTCTTATACACAGAAATAAGATGGTTATCTAGAGGAAAATCGCTAACCAGAGTGTTTGAATTACTAATTAAATACACTCAAGAAAATCTTTTAAATATGCAGCCGTATTTATTACATTCTAACGTTTTGAATGAATTATGAGAGCCATTGTAAAGATTTCTCTCAGAAAAGAAGTCACTGCTGGCAGCACATTTCAGTGACAAGGTATGGGTTGCAAAACTGGCTTACCTGTGTGACATATTCAGCCTGCTCAATGAACTGTTTTCAAGTTGGCAGACAAAGTAGTGCATTTAAAGCCAAACTAGAGTTGTGGGGATGGTGAGTGAACAGAGGCATTTTGGACATGTTTCAGACATTAGCGGGGATTTTAGGCGAGACTGAGCCTGAGCATTCATTCTCCCAGTTGGTGCACAATCACCTGTCTTTGCTTTTAAAAGAGTTCGAGTGCTACTTCCCAACCACAAAAGACCCACAAACTGGTAAGGAATGGATCCACGACCCATTTTTCAACAAACCAGGTGAATTTAACATGTCTGTACAAGAAGAAGATCAACTGCTGAAGATTGCAAATGACTGCGGTCTTAAAACTATGTTCGAAACAACAACTCTGTTGGTGTTCTGGATTAAAGTCATGGTGGAATACCTTGAGATTGCCACCAAAGCACTTAAATCCCTATTGCCATTTCCGACATCCTATCTGTGTGAAGCAGGGTTTTCTGCAGTGACAGCAATCAAAACAAAACAATGGAATAAACTGGACATAAGCAACACACTTCGGGTGTCATTGTCTCCTATTACTCCCAGATGGAACCGTCTCGTTGCAAAGAAACAAGCTCAGGGTTCTCATTGATTTAGTGTTCTAGTAAATTAAAATGTTAAATCACTTTATATTCATTTTTGGTGTAACTGTATTTTATTCTGAAGGCATGTTTAAATACAATTAAATTAAAATTATTAAATCAAAACAATCTAAAATATAAACAACCAATGTCCCGCCTCAGCAGGCCGCGGTAAAATTATCAAACGTTGACTGGTCCGCGATGATAAAAAGGTTGGGGAACGCTGACTTAAAGTATGGGAAACAATCATTTGTGCTCATGACATCATAAAAAAAGTACTAATCATATCAATTTGAGTTTCAAAATATCTATTTTTATATTATAAATCAATAAAAAAATTTGTAAATTAAAAAATTCTAATTATATTATAATAAATTTGTGTAAGTCATGGAATGTGCATGCAATGGAATCAATCAGTATGATCAAAATGACACAAAAGATTAAGATGACTGAGATATACTTCACTTTATTTGGGAACTTGGGACATTTGGAGGCAAATCAGTTATTTTAAGGAAAACTAAAGACAAATGAGGATAAATCTTAAAATCTTGGCTTTGATCATAAGATAAGCCTATCATTGAAATTTAAAAAATTTTCCTCAAAAAGTTAAAGTCAATTATAATTTTATGAAAATATAAGTTGTACTAATAATTCCTTATAGAATTTCATGTATAAAACAGTGATTTATTAATGTAAATCTATTTTAAAACATATTTTGATTTAAGTTTTAGCAACTACAAAACATTAGAAATACACAATGATCTGATAAAAGCATATTTGAAAAGTTTCAGTTGTTTAAATTTTTAATATATTATAAAATACAGTTTTGTAAGTACAGTACAATAAAACTTCCTCATTTATTCAACAATAAATTTTAAAATTTGTATTTAAATATAGAGGGAGAGCAAATATTAACGGAATATGGGTTGTCCTCTGACAAAATTTATCTGTAATACATATATTGTATAAATATTTTACAAAGACTTTTAAAATTTGAATTTAACATTTCTTTGAAATCTATTCTGTTTTTTTCCTAGTAAAAGAAAATTTTATACTTAATATCTAAATTTATGACAAGAAAGCTTCTTATGATAGTTTAGATCAGTGTTTTCCAACCTTTTTTGTGCTATGCCCCACCTAAGCCTTTCTAAAATTCTTATTCCTCCCAACATATACAGTGGCTATATGGTTAACTTAAACTCTGGACGAGTCCATTTTTGAATTGCCCCCTTAACAATCAAATTGCCCCACATTGGGAAATACTGGTTTAGATATATATATATCTAATAATTATATATATATATATACACATATATATAATAATTATATGTCATGAAAGCATTAATAATTTAAAATATATTTAAACAGCAATACAGCAAATGACTTTACTTAATGAAACAAAAATTAAATATTCCTTAAAAAACAACATTTTTTGTAAGGGCAATGTACGAATAATATTTATTGATTACAGCATAAGCTTATACGTTTCTTCTGCTATAGTAAATGAGTTTACAATATGAATTGTATCCGAATAAAATTATAAATGTGTATCAATAGAACTATACAAATTTATTATTATTAAAAAATGATAACTAAAAGTACACTTCATATTGCGATTTCGATCAACGATTTTAACTTCAAGAATGACGACGTCAGTATACATTAATATAGAGATATTTCATTTCTTACGTGGCAAATGTGTATTTGATTATACTAATTAATCACGACGACGCTCATATTAAAATTATGATAATTAAAAATGTCGATTCGTTTATTTGTGATATGCAACGTCACAGTTAAGAAACACATAATGTTAATATGAAATTTGAATATTTTGTAAATGACAGTAGCTAATAACATATTCAAAGATCCTAAATGTTAACAAACATTTCATATTGCATTACATTTCCTATCATTAGCAATCAGCTGATAATAAATCTATCAGTAATTTATAGTGTTGTCACTATGTTTTCTTAATATTCATTATTGATTAGTCATGAAATTTTGGAAAAACAATTCAATTGTTAATAAAACAATCAAACTATAAATGGTTGAAAATTACTTATCTTAAAATGAGTCAGATCTGCATTCTATTCCTTTTTTAAATGAGATATTATCGAATTATTTTTAAAGATGCAACAGAAACGAATGCAATTTAAAGAAATGTTTATTTACTAATATCCATTTAAAAATAAGATATAAAAATTTAAATTTAAAAACGAATAGAAACCTGTTTGTCCGAATTCATCTGGTGATTTGCCCCCAGCCATTAACCATCGGCACCAATCAATCGTATCCCATTCGTCTATTCTTTTTTTAGGATCTAATAACATATCCAACAATTCATTTAATCCTTTTGTATCATTAACCTTAGAACATCTTAACTTAACAGAAGCAGCAGCTCCTCTCTTGCCCTTATTCTTTAACATTTCGGCAGCCATTTTTGAAACTAAACTTCTATTGTATTCTCTACCAGATGGCACTGCATCTTATCGACTTCGATAAACAAATATAATTTATAATTCATAATTTATTTTTTTAAATTAATAATAATTATGTTTTACAGATATATTAAGCTGTAATTATAATTAATTTAGTTATATATATGTGTGTGTAGAATTTCTGTCGTTAGACGATGAATGTAGTTGAAAATTTTCATTTCCGTAATTTTTTTAATTTTTGATTCTTTTCACCTTTTTGGCACTAAAAGGGCCTTTTTTTTCAAGCCCATTGTGGGTTTGGCCAGGACCACAGTAGAAGCGGCCAGGTGATGAGAAACGAGGCCCAACATATCAGGAAAATCGAGAGACTACGTCGAAAAATTCATGGGGTTGCATGCTTGGATTTGATTCTGGTCCTCTAGAGCGATAGGCCGTCGTCTTAACCGCCTCGGCCATTCGGCCATTTCTAAAATTAACAAGAAGGTAATTTAGATGAAATTGTGAAGCAACTTTCGGGTTTTACGTGCTATACAAAAGTGTAAAATGTTATAAAAAATTATAAATAAATTATATTCAATGTCTATAATTTTGAATATTTCTAATTGTTTATAGTATTTCTTACAATTTGTGCTATATTAGGATATTGTATAAAAAATATAACCTGTCGCGAATGGTTCCAGTAGACACATGCACCCGTTGACAGCGACGGGCGGCTTTAGATGTCACGTGCCGTAGCGAACGGGTCTCGACGGGCTATTCAGCGAATCTACCGGTCTCTGCTTTCTATCGTGCACCGGTGCGATCCACTCCCTCTTCGGAGTATTCGTAGATTTTTCTGTGCCATCGTGTCACACCGATGGATGGTGCCCAACATGCCTGCAACTGCGCCCATCGACAAACTGAGGTCACTCCACTGCAGGATAAGATCTCGTTCCCCAGATGTTAACTGATGCTATTCAGCTCGTTGTCATCTCCGAGGCATTTTCTTTGCTTCTTCGAATGTTTGGCTGGCGCGAATAGCATTTACGGCCCGAACCGGCTGCTATTCTTGTTCTTTATAGCTGGAAACTGTGTACCACGTGACTCGATGCTTACGCAAACTTACATTTGCATATTGCTCTGTACCCTTTACCGATCCTACAATTTACATGTGGCTATGTGCATTCCTTCATGGTGTTGCGATTCACTTTTGAGGAGTGTAAATAAATAAATAAATAAGTTAATATCCAAAACTATATTATTGAAATAAGTTTATAAAAGATTAGACGTTAATTAAAAATTCATTTGTAAACTCCAGGACCACACGATATTAATAAATATATATACAATTGAAGACAAACAAAACTAAATGTCTTAGAAGTTCTTTCGAATACACGCGGAATCATGTAAAAACATTTTGCGACATTAGTTAGTCAAGCGCCAAAATACGCCTTAAGTTTACTAAATCCTTTGGTATATTTGTTTTTTACAATTAACGGATGATATATATAGATAGAGTTAATCAATCTTTTTGGAGTGCTATTTGAAATTGTTAAAAAAATCGTTATTAAATAAGTTATTTTATATATTTTTTATACAATATCCTAAATATAGCACAAATTGTAAGAAATACTATAAACAATTAGAAATATTCAAAATTATAGACATTGAATATAATTTATCTATGACTTTCATAACATTTTATACTTTTATGTAGCACGTAAAATCCGAAAGTTGCTTCACATTGTTTTCCTGCTTCAACGAATTGAAAAATCCAAAGGAATGTTTACGAACGGTCTCGGATATTCTTTAGGTTTCGTTATTCTTTTTAACTGCGGATCGAATGATATTCTTCCAGTCGATATCGCATCCTTTGCATTTCACGATTTCGGGCCCGACGAATAAGAAAGGTGTTTCCGGATCTACTTCGCATTTCATGCGATATTCTTTCGTCAGTACGGAATTACTAAAATATTCGTTAGGTTCGAAGTGGAATTCTAAGACAAAATCCATCCGATTATCCGAAACGTACTTGACGGTTACGTCTTTGAAGTGTTTCAAAACGAGTTCGTCCTGCTTGTTTATCATGGGAGACAAGACACTACAATTCTTGAAACACCGTCAACTAAAAATCTGAAATTCCCAGGTTTCTTGACATTCGTCTCCTTTATTTTTATTAGATTCCATGTCTAACTTTTCTTCTTCCNTAATTGCTTCTGATACGATGTTGCCAGCACACTGTTTTTCAGTTATCCAAAACAAAAGCAATTTCTCAACATGATCTAATGTCTTCGATCTCTGTTTAGAAATTGATTTAATTCCTTTCGCAACGTTAGCAGATTTAATAATGTCTTTATTTTTTGCGATTGTCAATATCGTCGTTCTCGGAATATGGTATGCAACAGTTAAATCTCGACCACGCATAATACCACCTTCATATTCCTCAACAATCTCTTTTTTTCAGTTCCATTGTGTTTCTAGTCATTTTTTTAGTTTTCTGTTGCTTTTCACTTGCCTTTTTGCAATTCATGATTAATAAAAATAATAAAATTTTACTTACAAATTAAAATCAGAAGAAATTTAACAAAGTTATAAACTGTGGCACCACGAACGTCTAGTCTAGTCTAATACACCGATAATGCAACTTGCTCATAGATGGCGCATATAATTGAATTAAGTCGTATACCGAGAAAAATTTGTTTCGTCCAAACAGGACGTATTCCGAATTGGATGTATTCTAAAGCAGACGTATACCGAGGTACTACTGTACTGAAAAATGATTCCCATACAAATGTACCTATTAAAAAATATATAATACAGTAGAGCGTCGATTATCCGAATCAATTGGGGACTGGGGTTGTTCGGAAAATTGATATTTCGGATGACCAATTATGTACGAAAAAATATTAATTTATCCTATGTTGAAATTTTTCTCCGTTGCGTGTCGCTTCATGTTGAATTTTCATTGATGTTAAGCCTAATGAAGACTATCGTATCATTAAAAATTATTTTTTTATTTTGTACAAACAAAATATAGTAATACCCCGAACTTATGCGATAGGTGGGACCGAGCGATAACCGCGTAAGTCGGGGTATAATTTCTCAATTTATGTAAAATCCAAGTCGGATGTATGTAAGCTAATAAATGTCTCGTTAATCTTATCTCATCTTTTGATTCGTTCATCGTTACAAGAAATCACCACATAGAGTCTCTCGAGTCTCCGTTGATATAACAAATACAGAAATAAATAACACAAAATAAATTGTAGCTATGTGTCGATTCCACGCGACACGTCCAAACATGTAAGCTGAACAATAGTGTGGGGGGAATGAGTAATCAAGAGTTGCGTGGCACTCAAACGAAAGACGAATCAACGAGATTTGAAAATCGCATAACTCCGGGTTCGCGTAAGTCGAGATATTACTGTAAATATATTGAAAAATATAAAAACAATAAAAAATTATATCTTAGAAGTTAATTTACTATCAAAAACGTAAAATATTTGAGTAGCCCAAGACATAGCCAAAGGTTGCAGCGCCACAGCACTGGCGAAAATTTAAATTTGCCAACTGGAATTCTTTCGGATAATTGATGTTTCGGATAATCGACACTCTACTGTATTTATATTTTACTGAAAAAAACAGCAAATAAATAAGAAATTCAAATTCATGAAAGTTCACATCAGCTGCTTTCTCCCCTATCATTATTACTATTATTATTATTTCAATCACATGGAGGCTGCTGCAATCTGAAATGGCACTGTACATAATTGCCTTTTATTATGACAATCAATGAAAATGCACTTTCTTTTGTGTTGAAGTTCTTTGAGCTGCATACTGGCACAATTCTCTCCCTTCTTTAAGTGCTCCACTCGTAATATTAATTAATCATATACCACTGCAGGAAAAATTCTCTTATATAATAAAATGACTATGCTAGTGCTGGTCCTAATGGCTTTGGGCACAGATTGCAGAAATGATAGTTATGCCACTGGATGTGTTCACTTGAATAATGAGATATTTTTCAATGGTATTAAAAGCAAAACTTTCATGTGATCCGAAAGGAAATTCTTGTACATTGAGAAAGTGTGTTCCACATTAACAGAAATCACTTTAGTAGTGTGTTATACCTGCCATTTCTTTACTAAGATCTTCAGAATAAATCTGTCTCTTCAGGTTTTAGGTAAATACTGAATCATCTCTCACAGAAATATAAACTCAAAGATGTTTTAAAAACTTTCAAACACAATTAAAGACATAACTGATATGTAAGTAAAAATGTTTCCCATCAAATAATGACTGAATTTGAAGTATGCCTAAGTTTTCTACTTTCATGGTAAATATTTCCATGTACTTACATAGGCTAATTTTTTCTAAAGTCTCCTTCATATTTGTGAAGAAGATAATTAACTTCAAGATGTTTATCATGCGTTGTAAGGAACTGCAAGCAATATAAGTAATATGATATAAATTAGAAAAGATTCCTTTTCTTAATTGCTTAAATGGTGTCAGCATATATTGGGATTATCTGTTATTGATACATATAATTTGTTAAATGACATTGCTGACCATATCTTACAAATGGCTAGCTTAAACTGCTGTTTAATAGTGAATGATTTGTTGATTCAACAAACTCCATATGAATAAGCATGGCAGAAAAACAGTTCCCTGTAAGAGGTGATGCAAGCATATTTACTACTTTTTATCTATTATTGTCATATGTTTCATAAATTTATATTTGAACTGAATAATCTAACAGTTGTTTTGAACAGAGTGGATCAACATAGTTTTGTTTTAAAGATGTACAATGGAAAACTTCAAATTCTGTGAACTCTTAGAAATTCTTTTACGACAGGATGATACAACTTGTCCATTATGATATCACACTTTATAAATGTTTCTGTCAGACACCAATTAAATGCTTTTTGTCTGTAATGCATTCATTTGTTGTTTTATGATAGTCACTAATGAAAGTTGTATTGTTTTCTGTGATTTTCTCCATTAATATGACATATCAGATTTTATTAAAGTCAGCTGTTGTCTTGCATTTT